GTGGGGAGGGAGGCAAGTCCCGATAGTATTTTAATTCATCTTATGGAATCATCAAAGCTCTACCCTTGGGTTGTGAAGTCTGGGGCTGGGAATCAGTATACCTGCGTTCGATTGACCCTCACCAAGCATAATGGTTACAAATTAGGCTGCTAACCTCAAGGTCGGCAGTTCGAAACTACCAGCTGTTCTGCAGGAGAAAGATGAGGTTTTCTGCTCCCGTAAAGATTTGCAGCCTCAGAAACCTGTGCAGGGTCACTATGAGTTGGAACCGACTCCACGGTACTTAACAACAACAACTGCAACTTATGTAACTTCAGAATGTTTACATTCCACCAGTGTTTTCATTAGAATACAAGTAATTATCCACTCAACTCTCAGGATGATTTTAAGGTAACATTGAGTCTTAAAAGCCAAAGAAACTCTCCAAATCTTGATTATTATGTGGCTTAAGTCAGATGTGTTAAATTCACTAAATTCTCAAGATAATAATAGTATTGACAATAGAGTTTAATGTTTGTGAGATACTTGAATAACTCTGAAAACAGCCCATGAAATCGCTACTATCATTGCCCCCCATGTTGCAGAGAAAATCAAAGCCTTATATGTTAAGATGCAATTAATGCCAGTTCAAGCTCACCAGCTGTTCCTTGGAAACCCTATACAGGTCATTGTGGATGGGAAGGACTCAGTGGCACTCAACAACAAAAAATAGGTTAAAATACCTTACTCCAGGTCACTTAGTAAGCAGCTGACTAAGAATACAAGTCCAGGAAATCTGGCCTCAGAGCCTTTGTTCTTAATCACTATGTGGTAGTGTCTCTTGCTAAAGATAAAAATTATCAGCAACACAAGTCTTACCTTGTCGGAAGGGCCCAGTAACATGGAGCATTGTTATAACTATATCTGTTGTTAAGTGCTGTCGAGTCAAATCCAACCCATAGCGACCATAGCTGGTAGTTTCGAACTGCTGATGCTGAGGTTCACAGCCCAATTTGTAACCACTACGCTACCAGAGCACCTTAAGACTCAATTAGCAAGAGTTAATTATACCATCTATGTCAACTGTTGTTTTATTCTAAGTCTCCCTTTATTAGAAATATGAAGTAATATTCTTGACAGGAAGGAGCTCTGGTAGTGCAGTGGTTACAAATTGGGCTGCGAACCTCAGCATCAGCAGTTCGAAACTACCAGCTGTTCTATAGGAGAAAGATGAGGCTTTCTGCTCCCATAAAGATTTACAGCCTCGGAAACCCTGTACAGGGTCGCTATGAGTCGGAACCGACTCCACGACACATAACAACAACAACAATTCTTGACAAGCTGTCCAGAACGGTGGAATAGAATGATACAGAAATGGTCCCTGGTAGGCCATGCCTCTTTGTACTCAAATGTGGTAGAGTGGTGGTAATGGTTACGTAAAATGTAGTTGGTTCCGATGACTCACAGTAACCACACAGAGGGCTTTAAAGCCTACAAAGATTTACAGGAGCAGAAAGCCTCATCTTTCTCCCAAAGACAGGCTGATAGACTCGAACTGCTGACCTTGAGGTAAGCAATCTAACTATAACTCACTACACTACCAGAGCTCCTACACACTGTATAGTATCCTCCCTCGTTTATTTTAGGTTGGCCTAGGCAACTTGCTTTGGCTGTGGAAACCAACACAGATGACATTAGCAGGGCATGAACACTGAAACACTGTTGCCCTGCAAAGGCCCAAGCTAAACTGTTGGAGACCTATAGCTAATCCAACAATCAGCACCATCTCAAACCTACGGTGAGGCCATTTTAGACCATCAAGTTCCAGTTGGACCTCCAGATAACTGTAGCTGCATGAAAGGAAAGACCAACAGAAGAACCGCACAACTGAGCCCAGCCCAAATTGCTAATCTACAGATGAATAATACATTTATTTTATCCACTAAGTTTCGGGATTGTTTATTATCCAGCCAAAGCTAACTGCATAGGGTAGCAATAGCAATGTGGCAGCTAGTAACTGTTCAAGAGTCTGGGGCATTTCCACAAATAGGCAGGAGAGTCAGTAGACTGAGAAGCTGGAGTCAGAAGTATTGGGTTGAGAGGGTGACAACGCAAGATTTACCTCCTTTTCATTCTGTGATTTCTGGACCAAGTGGTTAGGGAACGATAAGCCGGTCCCCATAATCATATAAGCAGAGTAGAGGGCAAAGAAAGAAAGAGGGCGTGCTGCATCTCAAGAAAGCCAACTACTGGCTTTTGTATCTACTGATAATAAAGTGCTTGACAACAGCATCAGTGATACAACTGGCCAGCTTTCAGCTACACATTGCTGTTGTAGGTGATGTTAAGTGCCGTTGAGTCGGTTCTGACCCATAGAGACCCTGTACAGGGTTTCTAAGGAGTAGCTAGTAAGCTTGAGCTGCCAACCCTGTGGTTCAAATTGACTTTGCAGTCTAGTGCATTAAAACCCACACACCAGGATCCCTCAGCACCACACACCAGGATTCCTCAGCTACACATTGTCCAGAGCATTATCATGAACCCCTCAGTTTCATTGCAGAGTTGGGGAATACCACAAGGAGAAGATTTAACCAAAGGCAAAGAAAGTATCTCTGAACTTTAAAAATAATAACATCATCATCCAGTCCAATTATTCTTTTTTTTTTTTTTTTTTAATGAAAAGAAAAAAGGCTCACAGAGGATGATGTGTCCAGGGCCACACATGCTGGATACGGTCATGTTGACACAGGAATCCAGGGGTCTGGACTTTAGTAACTACAACAATGTAATAGTCAGGACATGAACATTGGAGCCCAAGGGAGGAGCCATATCATATAACCTCTAATCTAATCATTGTCTTTGGCTGATTTTAAGAACAGTGTCCAACTGATCACCAAGACACACGACAAATCCATAAGATACACTAACTATAATCATTTTTCAAATAATGACTAGGAAACTTGGGAGACCAAAGGACAGTTGTTGTTTTTAAGCACCATCAAGTTAGTTGTGACTCATAGCAACCCTTTATAGGCTTTCCAAGGAGTGTTTTGGCCAAAGTTTTGGTTAGCAGTTCTGTACTTATCCTACATACCACACCATGACTCCAGAGACCAAAGGGTAGGATGGTTTTGTTGTTGTTGTAAAGTGCCGTCGAGTTGATTCTGACCCATAGCGACCCTATATAGGGTTTCCTAGGAGCAACTGGTGAGTTTGAACCGCCGACACTGCAGTTCAAACGGCTTTGCAGTCTGGTGCATTAACCCACAGCGCCACACCAGGACTCCAAAAAATCCACTTAGATTTCATGATGATAAAGATGATAATATTTACCTGTTGGCCTTCCACTTCAATTAAATGACCAATTAACAATGGCCACAAGGAGACTATTTTATGAAACAAAGAAATATCTTTATGACTTGAAGTAGAAACCCAAAAACTCAATGCCATCAAGTCAATTCCAATTCACAACATCCCGATAGGTGGAGTGCCATGGCATTCCTGAGGCTCTAAATCTTCATGGAAGCAGACTGGCCCATCTTTCTTCCCTGGAGAACGTGATGGGTTCAGACAGTTGACCTTTTGGTTAGCATCCAGTGCTTACCCCACTAAACCAACTTGAGGACTTCAAAGTACAAACAGATGATTCTGAAAATCATCCTTAGATTCTGACATACGCATATATGTTAAACTTGACACGTATATCTGATTTCATTGTATCTGAGGGAGAAAAACCATGCTTCTTTTTCTGTTTCTAATTTGCTATGTGAGTCAGATCAACTGATTTAACTAGTTCAGGTCTCAAATGTTTAATCAATAAAACAAGGAGACTGGACTTAAGTCTGAAAACACATTAATAGTATGTATGGAAAGAACTTTGAATGCAACCACAGTTGAGACTAAATTCAGGACCTATCATCTTGTTAAGTCTGGCCCACAGGAGTCCTCAATAAAGAAAATTATAATGATTCATTCATCCCACAAATATTTATTGAACCACTGTTATGTGCCAGACATTGTTCTAAGTACCAAGAATAATACGTTTAAGAAAACAGACCAAAAAATTCCACCTTGTCTTGCTTGGCATTTTAGCGCATGGTGAGCCATAACTCTAGCATTCAAGGAGCTATCTGTCTTATGCCACAAGAAATTCTCCAAATCCATCCTCAGCTTGACTACAGATCCAGAGCAATTAGCCCCTGGGGTCTCATCCTAGACTAGGTTACAGTCTCTTACACAGATTAACTGTCCTAGGCTTCTCAAAGATTCCCCGGTTGGTACAAAGTTAACCAAAAGGATGAAGATTCAAGTCCTTCCAGGTGCACCTTAGGAGAAAGGACTGATGATGTACCTCTCAAAAACGGGTCACTGAAAAAGAGCACAGTTCTACTCGGATCCACACACAGGGTCGCCATGAGTCCGGCAGATTTCGTGGTAGCTAGCTAGGCATCTCTTATGAGCAGCCCAGAATAATATCCATGAGTGAGGGGCAGGGACAACTGTGGGCTTCACAGTCCCTTTCACCTTTACCTCTTTCCTTATCTTCTGCGGTAGAACTGTCCCATAAACCTGCACCAGAGCCCTCAAAGCCTCTTTGAAGGCCTTTGACTTAGAGGTACCATACCCCCTACATCCCACCAGAGGTCGCCCTCCCACGCAAGCCCAAACAGACTCCGGCTGTACCTCCTCTGGCAGCCGTGACATTATTTTCTTTCTCTATTTTTATGTATTAAAAAGATTTCTTCACAGCCATAACTTAGATCCCTGCACTAAAATGGAGCAACAGGAAGATATAATGGTGCATTTCATTTATGAATGACCTATCATAAATTACTCTGAAGTGTCCCGAGTGCCAGAAGACAGAACGCTTTGTCTGCCCACGGACTGTATTTCACATACTTTAATTTAGCTGACACATAAAACTCATTTGACATTTTGCAGGTATTTGTAGAGGGGTAGGGAGAACCCGGAAGGGGACAACAGCGGGGCTGGACAGGGAGTGGGGGCCGAGCAAAGGATATTTGGTTCTTGTTGAGGGTTAAGGTATGGAGCCTGGGTAACCCTGGCAACGTGAGGTCGTCGCCGAGCAGATTGTTGTCCAAGATGAGCTCCTCTAGGCTCTGGAACGCGCTCAGTCCTTCCAGTGACCTGCAATGACAAAGGCAACAGGAAAAATGATCCTGCACTAAATCAGGGAGGCCATTATGAGCCGAAATAAATATTTTAACCTTCCCTTTCAGGACTGGGAATAGTTTGGGCTTGGTGCCTGTCAGCAAAGTGAATGACAAGAATTAGTAGCACAGAGTGGGGGCGGGGGCAGTGGGGGAGAAGGGCCTCTGGTACTCACCGCATCCTTCACGCATTGCCAACATGAAGGATGAGGGTCACTTAGTGAGTAGCCAGGATCCAAAACAAAGGGCTTCAGATACGTCCTGCAGGATAAATTTGTCAATGTCTTGTGCCTTGAGGCACCCAGCCTCGGCTGACCCTAACCTCCATTCCCAAGATAAATAACTCTGTCACACTTCACCTTCATTCCCTGGACACAAATTTAAGTTGTCATCCATCATTTCTGCCCAGAAATATCATACCCCTCTCACAATAATAAATATAACTTCAAGTATCATTTCTTAGCGGTTCTCCTCTGTACAGTGTGAGGAAACAGCAGGGAAGGTTCCCTTTCTCTCTGTTCATGGCCTTGGACTTTTTTTCTCTGCTTTTTTCTTCACTAATCACTTCATTTGCTTCTGCCCAGGATCTCAGCAGCGGCTCAACATGCAAGGCGTCTGCAGAATTGCATAATCGCTCCAGTCTGAAGGGCCTTTTTGCTTTTTCTTTCGTTCTTTCTTTTTATTTTATTTGTTTTTGTGGGGTTTTTTTTATTTGCAGGGGGATTTTCTCCCTCAAAACACAGGGCTGGAAGGTACTGTCCTAATTTATGGAACGTGAGCTTCCTCTGACTTTTGCTTTGAAAGAAGTGCAGAGAGAAAGCTTGTGGATGTTGAGGTAGTAAATAAACAAGCATCTAAAAGAATTAAGTACCCGGCTCAGGGAAAAAAACCCAAAACTCCCACGATCCACTGAGCTAAAAGTTAACTCTTCAGGAGTGTTTGGGGTGGGGTGCAGGAGGGAGTGGGGGGGTGGTAAATGAGGGTAGTTGTATGCACACATGCCTGCTGGGGTCCATGCAGGTGTTAGTTAAAACCAGCCACCAGCCAAGGGGCTCACACACACGTTACTGCCAGTCCCTTCACCTGCTGGCCCCAGGAGATGTGCTGAGCTTGCACAGGCTGGCAGCTGAGGGAGGGCTTGCCTGGGATCGCCCGGCTGTTTTATAAAATGCAAGGAATCAGGGGGATGTAAAGCACACTGCTTATTCATTTACTGATAAGAAGACCTATATGCTTACGTGTGCAATGTCGGCACATCTGGTAGGCGGGTGGACTTCAGTATAGGAGTTTTCCCATGGCATCAGTGTCTCCCTGTGGGACCTCTGCCAAGAGGACTTCAAAATAGGGCGTCAATTTTGGAGAAGTGTAAAATACAGTATGCACTGGGCCCACGGCCCTGCCTGCATACCCCATTCGTGGTAGACCTTCAGGGTGGGCATCTGACACCCAGAAAATTCCTGCTCCCTTGGCCAAGAGTCTCTCCCTGTAGCAGGAACATAATACTCACTATGTTTTGGGTAAAAGGCCAAAGTGTTCTCCTATTTACTTTCCTTCTCCTCCTTTCTGATTTTCCTCAGGGCCCAGGGAGTCAAAATGAAACATACACATATCTAGGCAGGAAAGGTGGGATTTTATGTCAATTCCACCACCTCCTTGCCTTGTCCATGTGGGTTTATCAGTAACTGATCTCTGGCTTTGTGTCATTACAGTAGGCCTAACAAAGCACTACCATCTTGCCTTACACACAAAAGGATTTTAGAAATGTGTCGCTTTCTTTTTCTTTCTCCTTTTCTTCTTTGTTTTTGTTTGTTTGTTCCAGAAGCTCTAGGGACTATGTTCCATGGGTGGCAGATGAACAAGTCCACAGAGGTGTACAGTATGTCTGGATTCTGCACGGAACCTTCCGCCTTGTCTTGAAGTGTCTTCTTCTACCAGGGGTTAATTAGTGCTGATCCAAAAGCCCTTTTCAGGACTAGGATCCTGTTTACCACAGGGAATTTGAAGCCACTTCTCCTCGGGGATCCTTCTGGGCAGCTAATAAGTCCTTTGTGCTGACCAGTTGGGTTCTGGTCACAGACAACATTCAAATCCACCTTGTTCCCAAGTTATGTTATGCAAATATAATACTCTTATCATGAGAATCAGCAAATGGTTGGCAACTGGCAAGCAGAAGAGAGCTCCCTTCCAAAAGTGCTCCAGGGGAGGCATAAAACAAAATGACACAGCATGCAGAGGGACAAAGCACAGGAACACTAGAGGGAGTGCCCAAGACAGCCTTTCTCTCTGTGCGTGGGGCAGACATGGGCGAGGGCACATCCATCCATGTGGGATGGCCACGCCAGGCAGTTAGTTCAGCTCAAACCCCATCATCTGTCTGGTTTGGAAATGATTTTTTTTGAGGCCATGCAGTATTATTAGCTGTTCAGTTAAAAGGGGTCCAGGATACATGCCGGCTTGCTAACTAGTCCATTCTGTTTTCATAGAATCAGAGAGATATGTACTTGATAATGTAATCAGCTAAATTCAGAGCTCAGGGGTTGGGGCAGGAGGCAAAGAATGGAGGGAAGGAGAGGACCCGAGAGAGAGGACGGGATTCCTGAAACTTGATTGACCGCAAAAGACCACTGTACATCAACCCAGAAGAGGGTTTCATTTTAATTTAATTTTTACTGTTGTTGTTTTCCACAAAGAAGTTATTGTTGTTAAGTGACGTTCAGTCAGATCCGACCCATAGTGGCCCTTATAGGGTTTCTTAGGAGTGGCTGGTAAGCTTGAACTGCCAACCTTGTGATTCAATTTTGCAGTCCAGTGCATTAACCCACAGTGCCACACCAGGGCTCCAGCAGTATGAAATTACCTGCGCCAGTCTTTGAGTTCATACCCCTATATACAACATGCCTGCAAATAGATTTAGTTTGGACTCAAAGTGACCCTGTACAGGGCTTCCAAGAAGCGGCTGGTGGATTTCAACTGCCAACCTTTCGGTTAGCAGTCCAGTGCTTATCCTTACAGCACCACACCAGACCTCTATGCATAGATAAATGCTGTTAAATAAAATGAGGCCACACAGATGTTTGCTGCTTAACGGGACAGCCTAGTATGGCACTGTGGGTTAATGTGTTCGACTGCAAAGCTGGTTTGGACTGCAAAGTCTATTTGAACTGCAAGGTCAGTGGTTCAAGCTCACCAGCCACTCCAAGGAAACCCAATACAGGGTCGCTCTGGGTTGGAACAACAACAACATAGTAGAGGGGGAAAATGACACAACTGAGCGTTCCTTGCTATAACCTTGTGTGTGGACAACAAATGCACCCCAGTTCCTAGAGCCCTGTGGGGCTGGCACCGGTCCTTCAGGGTCACTAACCTGCTTTCTGGGCTGGGGATGCTGACATCCAAGGTGCTGGCTGGAAGGGCAAGGCAGGCATCTCTGCCACCCTACAGTCAGAGGCTAGAGGACAAGGTAAGACCTACCCCCACCCCACCCCCCACCTCAGTGCAGCCAGCTGGAAAGACAGCTTCCAGCATGGTCAAGAGATACCAAGGGCAATCAGGGAGATGGGCGTGAGGACTGGCCACCACCAGGTGGTGGCTTCTCTGGAAATCTAATCAGCACCTGGGACGAGTGCTGCCTGCCTGTCTCTGGGTCCACAGGCAGGAAAGCTGTTCAGTACCTTCACCCACAGATATCATCTCAGTTACTAAGTGCACTGGGCTCTGGCTGGGCTCCCCTAGGAACCAGAAGAGGCCCTATGCCATTCCCAAAGTCACATCAACATGACAAAACATCACAATGCATTTGGCTCTGGTGGATTCAAATAGAGAGAAGTTTTACGTTTCCACTGTAATTAACCCTATCCTCGTTAAGATAATTATGATCAAGCTTCCTGTCACAGTTAATACCCCAGCATCATTGCCTGTGGCTCACATTCTGCTCTCATTAGCTTATAAACACAGCAGCATGGAAGCAGGCCCACTCCCCTGCCCACATGAGGCCAGTGTCCTGGAGTACTGATGGATGGATCTTAGGCAGGGCAGGGGCCCCTCAAAGTGGACAGTCCTTTAAACCCCAACCCATTTTTCTCTTAGGTGGGCACACACTCAGAGACCTTCACTTTTTGGTGTACAAGTTAAACCCTCATCAATGGGAAAAGAGAAAGGGCCGAACCAAGACGAAGTTGGTAAGTTAAGGAGAAAAGCAGCTACTAAAACCATGACGCTTCAGGATAATGCACTGGGTAAGGTCACTCTGATCTGCAAGGTCAGTGGTTCAAATTCATCCGCTGCTCTTTGGAAACCCTACACAGGGTTGTGATGAGTCGGAACTGACTCAACAGCACTGAACAACAAAAATTATGCTTCAGACATATTATCAAAAGGGACCAGTCCCGGATAAAGTAGACGGTCAGTGAAAAAGAGGAGGACTATCAACAGTACTTAACAACAACAATCCATAGCTACCCCTCCCTGTTTCTTAGCCAACAAAATAACAGCTGGAACATTTTTCAAAAAAAAAAATTTTAAAGCCAAAGAATGCCTCCCAAACCCTTGCTTCTAGAACTGACAATCTTGCCTAGTGGGTAATGGCTGTGTAAGAATTAGAGCTCTCTTCCCTTAGCAACACCAGGGAACTTTTGTCTGGCAGAAGATGGATGGGGGTTGGCAGTTAACAAGAGACCCCAGGAGAGAAGCAGATTTCTCTTTGCAACCATATGTGGCTTCAAAACCAGGGCTGAAAGTAGGTATCTTCTCAAGCCAGTCAAGAAAGGAAGAGCTGCGCTAAGATCTTCACCCACGCACCCAACGCTCTCTCTGAGTATCTGTATATATTCTCTTCACTGAGACAAATGGGGAGCACATGGATATTCTAGCAAACCTACCCCACACATCTTACATCTGCTATACCCGCTAAGCCTGCTGTCTGTTCCATAAAAGGTCTCGTTCTCTGGAGGACATCTGTCTCTCCAGGCTCCAACAGGA